TATATATATATATGTAGTTTAGATTTTATTTTTTTTAGCTTCATTATGATTGTGGCACTAGTGGAGTGAGTTTATTAATGTCTTACCACCTGGCATCCAACCACCTGGCTTAGCAAGTTTTCTGGGGGAAACCTTGGAAGTAACAAGTATTTTATGAGGCTTTTTATATGTTATTTTTATCAAACCAACAGAAAGTTTATGCATTCACCTTTTAATGTTGTGATGGGCAAAGATTTAGCTACATAAAAACCTCCAAATAAGGCAGATTTTGCATTTTTCACATTACTTTTCTTAGGCAGCTACTGTCTCTGCTGCTTATTTAACAGCTAAGAAGAGAAAAGAGGACAAGCCAAGTCAATTAAGGTGACTGTTAGTATAATTCAGACTGTGCAGCAATGAAACATCTAATAATACTTGTTCCCTCCAATCCCTTCTCACAGCTGAACCATCTTTCCTCTTTTTTTTTCCAGCTTCTTCAAGTGATTGCACAAATGAAAAGAGATTTTAATAGACTGTTCTCACTGGGGGCCTTTTGAAAAGGGAACGGAGCAAATCACTTATCACCGTTCTGCTGAAGAACAGAACAGAGGCGCGGAGTCCTTTCAAATCATGATTATGTTTTTTTTAGGTTTTGTGTCAGGATTGGTGGATTTAAAACTACAGGACAGTGAAGAAATATTAAGACGTAATCTCTCAGTTGTGCTCCATTTCATGTTAATCTGCTAGCAGCGTATCATGTGCGTTTCATACCCTACTAACCCCAATGTCCGCTTGACATTTTCAGCCCACCTAATCTGTCTGAACTAAAAAACTCTGAGCTGCACGGTGTCTGATTTGGCTTTTATTGTGGATCTCCTGTCTGTGACCTTATTTTTATTGTTGCCTTGCAGTGAGAAGATTCTGGGTTTGAATCCTGCATGAAGTTTGCATGCATGGTTTCCTGTTAAGACTGTGCCTACGGGTCGATAAAAATAAAACTAGGGATTCATGTGAAATCAAGCATCCCTTCCACTTTTAAAAGGTCATGCTTACATCTGTGATCTCTTAGATCTATTTTCTACTATTCCTCCCTCATCTATGAAGAACCGTGGTGTGACGTTTGACAGAAATTTTAAATTTGACAAGTTGGAGGTCAAGCTTCTACCAACTAAGACTTATAGCCAAGGTCAAAGGCTATCCTCATCTCAAGGATCTGGCCCTTATATTATCGTGGCTGGTTTATTGTAGTCCACTCTGATTAATTCATTATCTGCAACTAGTCAGAACGCAGCAGCCTGTTTTCTTACTGGTAAGAGGAAGCATGACCACATATCACCAATACTGGTTTCACTTCATGAGTTTCCAGCACCGTATTGATTTAAAAACACTGTTGGTTTTTAAGGTTGTTTTTACACCTGATAGTTCAGTGGAGTTAAATTTGATTCACAACCAAAATTGCAACATTTGTTACATGATTGCTTTCATTCTGCACTGTCAAACGAACGGTTGCTGTTCCCCTCCTCGCCTGTGGGGGCGCTGCACCAAGAACCACTGAAGGAAACGACACAAAAATCTCTGAAGAAGACATGAGCGCAACTTCCTTCTTTACAAAATGTTAAAAATGGAGCAGCGTCAGATTTTGGTGATTGTAGGATTTATTTTTTGTATAAATGTTTGTTTTGGTTGTATGTTTGTTTTGGTTGTATTTACCCAGAATGCTTCCTGCTTTTGGAGGGGTCTCCAGTCCACTTGGCATTCACATATGCACGTCAAAGTTCACTTCAACCAAACTGAGATCTAGGTTTTTGACGAACCAGAGTTCAATTCACACCTCCTCAAACAAACCGGACTTTCTGAGCAAACATACTAGTGAATTCATAACTTTTAGCATTTTAATGTTCTGGCACCCCCGGGACTGACGACTTGGCTCCTGGACTCATCCTGCCAGTGAGACAGACCAACCTCGCCCTTTGAGAGTTTTAAATATTTTGAAAGAATCATTTTTGATCTTGACTTACAATGACTTCCACAAAATAACTTTATATTTATCTAGTTTTAATCTGTGTCTTATGCTTTTTCTCTTGTTGTTCTTTATTATGTGCATGTACTAACCACTTGACTTTGGTCACCTTTGGTTGCTTTTAAAGTGCTTTATAAATAAACTCTAACTTGACTTGATACATATTTTGTATCCTGGTGCAGCTTAAAGCAGAACTACATCTTCAGATCAACAAATATTTCCCCACATTTCCAACACAATCTGAGAAAAGCTGGTGCAGAACGTCTCCTTTTAGATGCTCTGCAAACTTTCCAACCTGAAAATGTTGTTTTTTATGAGTTATGACCTTGAACACTGCTTACATCATATATGGTAATTTTAGCCAGAAAGGGGAAATCAAAGCTTTTTGTCTTCCTTAAATAAAATCTCACTAATGGAAAATTTCTTAAAAGTAGCTCTTTTGCAGTCAGAGAAGCTTAAATGTTTTTCTCAAGGTTGACGGGGTCCTGTAAACTAAAATACATTATTAGAGGTTAGCTGTGGCAAAGAAGAAGCCATTAGGGGCAGAGTTTCCAGAAACATATTTTACAGACATCCATCAGCCGCAGCTTTGAGTTGTTTCTGCTCATGTATTACATACAGCAGAGCAGCTTCACAAATTTAGTGCTTTTACTTTGTGCAGTTAACAGATTTGCAGCTATGTCAAAATGAGAAATGTCATTAAATGTGCAACACTTAGCTATGCTTATTAGTCTATCTAATAACTGGGGGTGTAACAAAGAGATGATGAACCATGATTGTTTCATGAGACAAGGAGAGGTTTTAGCAATATTCTCTGTAAAACTAAAAAAGGAAGAATCCAGATTTTTTAAAATGATTTTTACAATTTTCACAATTCCGATATGTTTGATAAATTACTCAGTCCAGGTTTCATCTGTCCCCAAATGAAGGTTGTTCCAAAGGCTAAAAGTATTCAGAAATGCTTTATGTTTGAACTTGCACAATTAAAATAATCATTTCATAAAGATTAGGAGGCTTAAGTCAAGTTCAGACACATTAAATAATTGCAAGATAGCTCCACAGCAGATACTAACATCAAGGTTTCCCTCAGAAAACTTGCTAAGCCTGGTGGTTGGGCGCCAGGGCAGTCATTCGTCCAGTAGCCTGCCGTGTTTTTCAGTTAAAAAATGTTGAAAGTTGACAGGAAATTTTAAAATATCACTTGATAATCATGTGTTATTGGAAGATTAACACCTGAACACCAACTATAAAGTTTTAAAAATGCAAACATTTTAAAAAGACTTAAATAAATAAACCTGGTGGGGACACAAGTAAAGCCTGGTGGCCCGCCAGGCTTATAATACACTGGGGGAAACCCTGTACTTTTGACATTATAGAGACTACTTCTTTAATATGGTGGCAGCTTCTTGAATGCTACTGTAATTATGTGTTATTAACCAGCTTGATTTTTAACAGCTGACTTTGTCAACACTACAGGGCATGTTAATATCTACGTCCTACAAGGAATACGTTTTTAGATATTGCAAAAGCTCAAGGGATAATATCTCATTACACCCTACTAATAACCAAATGAGCTAAATAATGCCAAGTAATGCTTATGGAGATATAATGCCTTGTTGTGTGCCTTTTGGATGTTTTAATTGTTCAAACATAAAGGAAATACTTATGTGACACTGCCTCATATTAAATAACATTAGTATGGTGTCACATTGCTGCCAAAAACCTTGAGGAGCACAGTAATCAATCATTGCAGTGCATATAATAGTCAAAAGAGTGCATAGTTGTGATTGTGAGTCTATTCATAAGTATTAAGCAAATCGATCGTTTTGGTTTTCTACTTAAAGGAATTTCCTTCAAAGGGAACCTGTTGTGCAAAATTCACCTTTAACCTGCTTTTAAAAACAACTCAAATGCTTAAAAAAAACTCCCAGCTGTTTTTTTTACAATAAGAATATTTTTTGGTGGAAAATGAGCCATTTCAAAAGCCTCTGAATTGTTGAGTCACACTGCACTGTTACCTAGCAACCAGCTTCAGCACGTTTGTCTGGTCTGTATGCGCTGTACAATGTCTGCTGGAAAATATGTGTTTTGTTGATTTATTATTCAGAAACCACTTGCTTCGTTTTTGTGGTTGTGCAGGAGGCTCTACTTCTGCTTTTCAAAGATGTCTGGTTGTATAATTGTGCATCAGTTTGCTGCCATTTTTACTTGAGAGTGCAAACGTTGTGTTGGTTGTTTTGGCCAGCAGAAGCTTATTTGGATTTAAAGTGACAGGATTTATTTTTTGTAACCCTCTGCAAAGTTTATAAATTTCAGGTTTGAGAACTGTTCTTATTTTTAATCTGTCAGATGCTGTTGCCATATTGAAGCCCTTGTTTCTGCAACCTCATTCTTCCCCCACAACCTTTAACAAATCTGTAGTTTCCATAAGCGGCGGAGCATGTCAGGTGCATGCAGAGTCCACAAACAGCATCTGTGGGGAGTTTTCTAGATTCATGACAAGATAAAAGCTCGATGCGTGTTGCCAACATGTGATCATTTCGCCTGAAGTCCTTTTTCTGCACGTTTCATTTAGGTGCAACAGCCTGAAATCAAGTGTAAAACTGTCAGGTTTTGTCAGTGTTGTGTTTTCACACCACATTTATTGAAATGGACAAGGAGCCAGAGAGGAGCGCAGTGGGAACACAAGCTCTGTGTGAGAGTCCCTGTGAAATCTGCTTGATGATTTCATCCTCTATTAGGGACCAAAACAATTAATAATCCTACAAAAAAATATGTTTAACCTCAACCAGTGCTCTGTTAAAATCTCATTAGCTGTTTTCAAAAACTAATGAACAGGAAATTGATATTTTTTCAACGTCAGACATTTTTAAAACTACTTCAGCCTGAAATATTAATATGTTAATCCTCTAAAGGGAAACATGCATATTTTTGTTTTTAAATTAAACAAAATGGTTCCTTATCATACTTTTAATGGGGATTTGTTACTTATCATCATTAGGCCTTGAGATGGGAGAATTATTGACATATGATTGTTTTTATGCATTATTGTTTTTGTTTTTTGTAATCATGCTCAGTGTGTTTTGTACAAATTATCATTTATTTATTAGCGTTCCAAATACAGCAGTAAAAAAAAAAATATATATATATATATATATATATATATATATATATATATATATATATATATATATATTGTTTGCAACTTTATAAAAAATTTAAATACTAAACCATAAAACACACATTCACAAAAATAACTAATTTTCTTTATTTGATTATGAATATTATCATTAAGCTCAACAATTGAAAGCAACATGGATTGTTATTATTATGTTTTCAGTAACACTTGTTTTGCCTCTAAAAATACATTTTGTTGTGCTTCTACAAGCTTAATATTAATTAATTACTCACAGTAATACAAAGTGCTTGGCTTACCACCTTTCATATAAAATAAAACTGTTATTAGACTGAAATATATTTACTAATTATGGTGGTATTATAGCAAACTAAAATGACTGCAGATTAACTTCAGAAATAGTTGAAATATTTTACAACTTTTAGATCTTTAGTTTTTTATATTTCAAAACCAGCGGCACCGTTTTCCTTTTAATTCAGAAACAAAATCTTCTAAAGCTCCTTTTAAAATCTTTTCTAATAGATTTTATCCATCCTGTGTGATTTTAACTTTCAGCCGCGTGCGAACAACAGCAGTCCATTCAGAAGAATGAAAACGGATTGAGGTCCATTGTTTGGCAAATATGCGGGGAAGGAAGCAGCATAGCGCGTCCTTTAGGGAGCATGCAGGTGTGAACCGTGAATAGGAGCTGTAAGAACGAAGAGGGAGAGAGATTTAGGAGTCTCTTTCTCTCCTCACTCAGTTTCCTCCTCCTTCGCTCTGCCTTACATACTCGTACACACTCGCTCTTCAGACTCTCTCAGCTTCTCTTTCGTCCTCCGCTCATTTACAGCCCGTCTTGGTTTTTCTGTTTCCTGTGCTGAAAAGGACGAGCTGATCATTGGAGCATGACACTTTTAGTTAAAGCCCATGTGAGTCGTTCTTTTGCAGCAGTTCTTTGGATTGCGGCTAAGACGTGTCACTGACCCGAGAAAGGAACGCAGACACAGGAAAAATAAAAAGTCTTTCTTTACTGGGAGACACTTTTTGTTCTGCTGAACTTTCCTGATTTGAGGAATCCTAAAACAAGTGGAGATGCTGCTGGGTAAGAATTTATCAGCTTTACTTCTTTACTGGAAACAAAAAGCAGATTTAACTCTTAAGGTTTTGAACCTGACTTCTGCCTGCATGCATGTGAGTGCTCTCCTGCCACTGCATGTTTAGAAACAAAGACTTCACATCATCATCATCGCTCCGGGGGAGGTTTGGTCTCCCGACTACCATCTGCCCTAATTCAGTTCCTCCTGCATGCACAACGAGTCCCAGGCCTGTTTGTTTTCCTAATTGACCCCTTTTGATGGAGCCGAGTGTGGAGTTCAGACCGTTTGCAGCGCCGCCGTTCCCAGATGTGTCAAGTCATTTCGGAGCCACGCAAGAACAGCAGCGCCTGATATCACTGCACACATTGCTGCCAATTATGTCTCTGCTTCCCCGGGGAAATATGCCCAGATTAGCTCGCATAATTGGTGGCTGTTAAAAATAAAAGAGGTGTAGGGACACCAAGTCAGTTTTGTTTATGTTTTTGTAATTAAAAGGGCAAAATATTTTAGTGTGTTTCAGTTTATTTAGGCTTTAATTTGACCAGCAGATCTGGATTTGCATTGATTTATATATTTTTTGAGAACAATCAAAGGGTTACTTTACATAAAAGGGCTAAAGAAAAGGTTAATGAATACATTTAAATCAGATAGTAGAATAACACCGGGAATGTAGCAAGCTAGTCAGTTAGCCAGCTTTATAGCATTTTAAAACTGACCTTGTTTAATTAGAGTGATGGGTGCAGCTTTACTTTTCACACTTTAACTTTGTGTTTTTGGAACTGGACATATTTCCAAACAGCTGAATTGGTGCTTCTTTTTAGCAAAATAAGTTTCATTAGCCTCATTTTAGCCAGAAACCAGTTGAGTTCAGATACAGGTGAGGGGGGAAACTTTGATAACTCCCTTTCTCTAAATCTAGATCATAAATTATTACTCATGTTATTATTATTCATTAATATTTATGGACTAAACCCATAGCCAAACTGTGATATGTTAAATAAACCACAGCTGGATTGGAGTGTATTTGAACCAGGACTGGATTAGCAAAATAATCTTAAAATGGGCTGGAGACCTTCTCTAAAAACACTTATTTTAATAGTTCAAACAACAATTATACCTCAGTATGCTTTAATACACACAGTGGAAGCTGTTTTAACATTCCTGCAGAAACCAATATTCATAGTTTTCCCGCTCTTTGGGGTTCAGCCAATCAGCACTAAGGAAAAATAAATGCCATTATTGGATTGGTTGTTTTGAAAATGCTAGCCAATACAGTGTCAAGTAGCATTTCATCTTCCTAAGCTGCATTTTCATTCAAATATTTTTCTATATCTCTAAGAAAATATCTGCAAATAAGCAAGGGTCCACTGTAGTTTATTGTTTTATACATAGCAGTTTTTAGATTGTGGAGTCATTGTAATTTCCTTGCCATTAGAGGAAATTTTTTAACTTTGCTGCAATGCAATCATGTTCTTCTGTGGTGTTATCTTCTAATGTGAAGTGGCATTTTTTCCCTTTTAACTTAAACATTCACCAGAACAACTATTGTTGTTTTTTGGTCTTTAACTTTTGCCACATTTAAGTGGGGCCATTTCTATAAACAAAAAAAGTGAAGTTTGTAGTGGAGGTACGAAAAAATGACGTACGATATTATGCATTTGAATGAAAATACACTGAAATGGACCGAAAATACAGATTAAAATCTCTGAGTTTCTTGAGTCTACTGCAGATGTAAATATGTATATGTGCAAAATACATACAGGAATGTATTCAGAGTGGTCTATATAAGCTGCTGTGAATGGAAACACTGAGTCTCGTCTATGTGCCGGCTCTGGGCGCTTTCTTCTTCAAATGACAGATTAGGAGGATCAAAGGAAAACAGAGAGAAGATAACTGTAGCGTTTTGCCCGGCGGCCATGCTGCATCTGTCCCCACTGTCATCAAGAGCGCGTTTCGATGTCTCACTGACTCTGTGTGTAATAAATCTCAT